GCATGCAAATCTTTCAATTCTATGCAACTAAGTGAACTGTGTTTATACATTTTTGATATAGCACTTTTTTCTTAAAGGCAACACACAAAGTGTTTATGGTTTCTGGCTAGTGGGTGCTTTTATCATTCCAATTAGAAAAATAGAAGAGAACATACTTAGTTTTTTTTTTAGAGGCAGACATGATGCTGGGAGATAAGATTCTTTTATTGTTGCTGTGTGCAAACAGACTCCACATCATATTCTATTACTCCATATCAGTCCCTTGTCATTGGCCAAGTATTTAACTTGTGATCCCAGAAACTCTTATGTTTTGAAATATTTTTTTCTGGATTTACAATTCATAATATTTTCTCCATTACCTGCTTGAAGAAGAAACGCACTTTTTGGTGATCAGAGAGGGAGACAAATATCTCTAGGTTTTTCAGGTCACCCTGGATTTATTTCCACTCAGGATGCTTTGTAGTCACTACTAAAAACTTGCCTCATCCTAACATGGCTTTAGAAAAAAGCGGCAATCACATTTCTTGATAACCTCAAAAGCTGTGTACAGGAAAATCATCTATTTGGGGGCCCAAGAGAGTCATAAAGTCTATCTTAGGAAGTTCTAGGTAAATGCAATTGAATCTCTTTTCCCTTGTTAGATGACTTTTCATTCACAGGTAGGATAAATTTAAGGAAACTCACAGAAGACACAAATGTGTATTATTGAGTAAGGATTTTTTTCTAAATCAGGCTGACTATTCTATTTTACTTCATACTTTCGACTGGGATTATTTTTAATAAGGTTTATTTAAATCAATGTTTTTGTAAATAAAATTTCTAAATCCAGTCACTTATCTAATCCAATAATTTCACATGGAAATATAAAACTGTTAGTTATTTTATTTACTGATTATTCCCTCTGTTATGTGCAATTTAAAAGTTGGTTAACAGCTTCATTTAAACTATGCTTTGAAAGCTTGTTTAGAAATTATAGAATACAGAAAATGTCATTTTGATGAAACCAATTATGTATTTTCCTTTATAAGCCACAAACATATGAATATTGGAAAATTCCAGGCATCTTAACCTAAAAAAGATAGCCATAATTTCTCTCAAAATAAAAATATTGTTGTCCAGTTTTGGAATGCTTTCTAGAAATCTCTATTTCACAGATGCATATCCAGTACTAACAAATTCAACATTCACCATATACAACATATATTTTAAAACAGAAGTGTATACTTATTGAAAAATTATGTTATGCTATTTATACGTTATATTGAAATAAATAAATCCCTCAATAGGTCAAAGGTATTTGAGCCAAATAGTAAATAATGTGCTCCACATTCTTAAAAAAGACTTGGATCATTTCTTCTTAGACATATGGACAATTTTGGAAATGAGAACTAGTTTTATGAGTTTTATTTTTTTAGACAAATATAAAAATTGAAACCCTGTATTAGAAACAAGACAATGCTCTGAATCTCTAAGTAAACCAACTGCAATTTTTCAAAATAATTGGGATTGAGTCAATCTTCAAAGTGTTGTTAAAATTTATTTCACTTGGTTTTCATCTAGGTCCCTACCATTCACCACAAAAAGTTGTTTTGACAGAAGAAATGCACCGATATAATTAAAACAGAAATATTTGCATTGAGATTTAAGACTAAGTCAAATACTGACCACACAACTTCGAAACTGTGACAATATCCACTATTTACTATAAGTACATATATTTTATTCTATTTAACTCCTGTAATTATTTGGTTTTTAAATATTGTTTAATTTCAACAGTATCACTTGCACTCCTTCTCTGAAAAGAAGTCAATGTGGATGTTTCAATCCACACAGTTGCTATTTTACATTTTTTCCTATAGTCCAAGGAGAATTCACTCCTATACTCAGCACTGAATAGACTTCATAGCATTCTCTCCATGTGTGGTGCTAGCCTCAGATGTTATTTAAAATAAAAAGTGGAATTCATAGAAAAAAATATATTCTCTAAGCTATTGCACTCATGATGTAATAATATTACAATATTATTACTTATTTGTTCCTTTCAAATAGTAAATAGTGCCAAGGGTTTTAGTGTAAGTACAATATGTTAGAAAGCTGTTTTGTTAAATAAAACAAACAGAAATCCTTTTCACCACAGAAGAATAATTACACATTCTGCATATTTAGCCCATCTTCTACTTTTGTTCCAATATATTTGTATCTAGCCTGCCTACTCTTGCATGACGCCTTACAAATTTAAAATGCACCACTATTTATTAGGCTGTATATCCATATAGCACATATAAGATAGTGTATATGGCTAGTATCTTATTGATGTTATGGATATAAATACCATATTAGAAAGTTCAAATACCACGCCAGAGATCTGCTCATTTTGTGTGTTGGAAATCTTTCTTAAATGCCCCCGTGGCTGATGACAACATTTCAAGTCATCATTAATGAATATACATAAAATAAGAAGCAAAGAGATATTAACCAACCAGACAAGTTAGACTTTTAGATAAAACAACAGCACACAGTACAGCCTCTCAGCAGGTCTTCTTAACATAGGTCGTTTAAAGGATCATAGACATGTCCATAAACATTTAGCTTGTTTGTAGAAGCAAAGGAAGTCTGGCCCTGAAGACATGCTCACTGCCCTGACTCTAAAGATTTCTTTTCCTAAAGAGTCAGAGATGTGTTCCCCAAAGTCTAAAGCAACCCTCCATTTTCTTAATGCAACAGAGGGACCTTCTCTTCCCTCAAGAATATTACAGAAACCTGGAATGTTTACTTTAACAATATGACCTCATTAACAATATTAAGACAACCTAACTGCTTGGCTTTCCTGCACATGAATGTTATGAATTTCCAGTACTGTAAAGTAAACAAGCATTTTATATGAAAAGACTTAAGAATGTCTCTGCCTACACTTAAGCAAATTATTATTGAAATAAAAGAAAGCATGCATTCACATTTCAAAAATTTGCTTGCAAAACTCTATTTAATACTTGTATATGATGCCAGGCATGTTAATAACATGTATTAAAATACTGTATTGGACACATTAAAGAATACTGTATGAGAATACTCAAAGCAAGGTTTCAAATATTCTTCTTCAAATGATATCTATTTTCACTCTTATAATAAAGATGCATGTATTTCCTTTTTGGAGAAGAGGACAAATAAAATCCATATTCCAGTTTCACTGCTTTAATCCCTTTTTAAAGAGGCACTTCATATTTCTTAGAGGATATTTTCATGATAATTTCTTCCTTTTTAAATATCAGTAAAAAATGTGTGCAAAAATCACTGGCAACATGATAAGAGAAGTTATTTATTTTTAAACCAGCTTTGGAAGCAGCTTCTCCTGAAGCAACTGGAAGAAATAAAATTTATAAGAAAAAGAACATGAAAGAAAAGACATAAGAAATAGAAGGTGGAGCAGGTGAAGTGAGAGAAGTAAATTGATTACTGGGTTCATTCCAAATCAAATGTGGTAATTCCCTGAAGTCTACAAACTTTGAATAACAAGACAACTAAAAAAACAAGAGCACTGCTCTCAAAGTACGGGTGGGCAAATTTAGTCTATTATTTGCGTGTGAGTGAAGGTGTACTATTGCAATTAAAATCAAAGATTACAGGGTTTTTTTTTTTTTTTTTACATACACTAGGTTATGTAATAGTAGACACATGACATAGACAATCACGTGAGGGAAAAACAACTCTTAAAAAGGGCTAATTAGCTAGTATTGAGGGGAAAAGTTGAACAATTATTCTTTGACTAAGCAGCTTCAAAACCATTACTGGAAAATGAGCTTATTCACAGATTGAACTAGATATAACAATTTCAAAAGGAATCATTGTTGTGTTTTGTTCATTCAGTTCTGAAATAATTTACACAATCCAGCCAAATCTCGATTGCTCTTTTGAAGAAGAACAGTAGAGCAGCAATGCCAATGCTAAGTTTCCAAATGTGGGGTACAGAGACAGTGTGAATGGTATTTATAATTAGATTGGTACACGTATAAAATATGACTTTCTACTTATTTTATGTATGACACTATCTTTATGATAGAGGAAAAGAGCTGTCTATGCTGGTTGACATCTGAAGTTGGTAGAATTCTGAAAGTTGGCAATAAATGTTGCACATCAAGAGAAACTCCTGAAAATGAAAAGTTAACTGTCTTTCTGTACTTAGGTTGTTTCTATTTTATTCTAGTGCATCATATTGTCTAACACTTATTTATATTTTATATAAAGCGCAAGGCTATAATATGTATGTCAGGTAGGCAAAAAACCCCCCAAAAAAAACAACAACAGCTACAATACTTTTGAAGATGAGAATTGTTGTGGCTCTTTATCCTCAACTCATTCTAATCCCTATAGTATTCATGGGTAGAGCAGGGTACCTGACATTGTCATTATTTTTCTGCTCTTGATTGGAGATTGGCATTCTTAAAGTATCTTTCATTCATATTAATTGATACATTTTTACAAACACTAGACAATCCATTGGTACACGCAGATTGAGGTACTGATCTTGCTTTTAAGATTTTTGGCTGTAGAATTATAACTAGAATTTTTGAAACTTTCAGCTAAAAAGTGTGTAAAGGCTCCTACACACCCTATGTCTGTTGGTTTCCAACAGTTTCTTGAGTTATTTTTCTTTGAAAAGAATATTTTAATAGTAACTTTTCTATTTCAAATTTTATCACTCTGAAAAGGTGGTAAAAATCTTGCTTTTTCACATTGGAATTTGAAATTTGATAAGATTTTTTAAATTTTGCTATATTTGAAGAGTTTTTATGAAATAAGAAGTTTAAATAACATAAGGATTCCAAGCCTAGATTTAAATTATGTTATCTCAGATGCTCTCAGATACTTTCATTATATCTCCCAGATGCAATTTGTTCATTCAATTTTTCCTGAAAAGAAAATGTGTCCATATAGAATTACTAGGATAATAGAAAATTCACTTGAATTTGGAAAAAAAAAAAAATGTTTTACTCTTGGTCACTCTATGTTGAGATCTGTTGCTTCTTTGAAGAAAAAAATACTTCACTAAAATGGAACAGATTCAAGATTGCATTACAAATCAAATTAGAATGCTCTTAAATAGGCTCACTGAAAGCCTGTTTCACTATACCTCATTTTCATTAACTTAGTGGAAGTGGTTTTCCAGAGTTAGCATCTCATTTAATAATCTATAACATCTATAAGACAATTTAATATGTATGATTTATTTTCATAAGCCTGTCACATCAAGGATTCATTAGAGCTCAATAAAAATATATGTGTGTGTGTGAATATATATTTTTCAACCAGTGCACAAGAATTAGAAATTAGTATCTTATCTGTAAGTGGCAAATTTTATGTTCAAAATTAGCTGTCGAAACACTATTCACAAATGAGTTCTCTTTCTCTTGGTAGAAGAGTATTTTGGGGGAAGTTCTTAAAGTACATCAGACAGAGATACAAAGGGGTCCTGAATAAAGGGCACATTGTGAATACAGCAGTTTAAAAAGAATTCCACATCTTAATTGGGGAGATATATCTTTTCACAAGGCTCCCGGACTTAACAGAAGAGTTCAAGTGTTCATTTTACCAGCTCATCTGCCATTCCTTGTCTCTAAAATGCAAGGCCAGTGACAGCTGATAGCACACATTTTCTGTGAAATGAAAATCACTAGACAGGAAATACATTTATCATAATAATTTCCTAGAATTGTCTAGTTCCCTGTGCCCATTAAAGAACGTCTGAATACTGACAGAGTTTCAGAGAAGAACAATGAAACGATCACTATGATATCTGAAATATGGCTTCATAGGAAACAAGGCTACACTTAATTCACTGTGATCTTTTATGTTTCTTTTCTGTTTTTTGTTATAGATCATATCGCTGACATGGAATTATGAGCCAATCTTTTCCAAATTAAGTTACTACCAAAATTTACAAACTTGACATGAAGATTACATTGTATTTACAAAGAACTTGGCACTTAACAGAATAAATTATTGACTTTTTTTTTCAATCCATCTCAGGGCACCCATGGTTCAGGCAAACAGGAAAGCCTGACACCTTATTATATATTATGCTACATTAACATGAATAAATAGGTTTCCAGCTGGTAAGTCTTCCCCAGTGCTGTCCTTGTTGCTGAAAACAAGTACCTTCTATTTCTAATACCATAGGGAGTGTAGAGTTATCAGTCCAGAGAGAGCAGAGGTTGCATGTTTTCTTCCTCATTTTTATCCATGCGTTTTAGTACCGTAGGATCCACTACTGATTGGGATCTGCAAAGGATAAAGTCAATGTCTGAGAGTTATTACCAAATAATCACTCACATGGCATTCTCTTCTCTGTCTTTTCTTCATTATTACTCTCCCGTGGATGTGGGATTATCTTCCCCTACATCAAGGAATTTATGAACTGAGAATGCTGCACATTTAGAGAGAGGAACACTTATGGTGGTGTTTTGCATAAAAGTCAGGAAACAATCCCCTCTGGCCTGTAAATAGAATACCGAACAGCAAAAGACTTAAATAGACCATAACAGGTCTAAGTGCTCCACTTCACAATGGAGCAAGATTCTTTCCTTTGAGATAATGAATTCCTAATAGAGGACAAATGTGTTCCCCCCTCACAAGAAAAAAAAAAAACTTCCAAATGGAGAAAATATTGCAATAAAATCATTGTTTAAGAAAAGAGAAATAATAGGAGACTTGATTTCTGTCTTAAAGGGTTCTATGAAACAAATTCAATATCAATGTCCATTTTTCTCTATCATTTTATATTTTAATGATCACATTAGTCAAAAATCCAAAGTTGAAGGTGATTTTTGTTAAATTTCCAACTAGGACATCCAAATAAAATCAATCTGAATTTGAAAGTTTCATAAAATGTTTTAAGTCTAAAGAGTAAGATTCCCCCTTGTTCAGGCAGCAACACTTACGATTAGGAAAGCAAATAATCTGAAAACCTCTCACACATTTCCTTCACAGCAGGTGGGGATTATATCTCAATTCATCATTTGGAAACAACATGAAACCAAGAAGGAGGAAAGACAATGAGACATGCTACTGTTGTGGCAGGAAACTACCATCTTAATAGCTATAGCATTAAGGAAGCAGCTGCCCTTTTAAAATTCTTCTCGGTAATGAATTTTTCCCCTGCTGCTGCATGCCAGCCAATTGGCTACTGCTGTGGCAGTATGCCTCTTAGCAGACCTCATTAACTTTCAAAAAGAAAGACGATAAGCTAAAACACAACTGTACATGCTATGAAAAAGAACAGCAGCGGAACTAATTATCGAAGCAAAAATAATTACAGGATTAACTGATAAATTGACCCCTTCATTTCAATAAACTTGTTTGTTTTTTAAAAAAGAATGAAAATGAAGGTGGGAGCATAAAAAGGCACAGGTTTTATTTCCTAAGTCATTTTCATGAATTTATCTCAATAGTAAATAGGTATTAGATGCCTACCTCAGAAAGGTGACTGACTAGAGCAGAGGCAGAGAAAGAGAGAGATGGAGACAAGCAAGGGAAGGAGAACAAGGATGACAATGAGAGACAGAAGAGAGATTTTGCTTCACTTTTAAGTGCAATGAACACAATTATCTTAGGAAAAAGTATATGAATAAATAAATATATTTTAAGAAAGTGCATAATTGCACAAAATTCTTAGTGAATAGACCTTTATTTATCTATTTTCAATAAGATCCACCTAAGAAAATTAGTTTCCCAAGCTGAATTCATGCTAAAATACAGAGAAGTTGATTTAATACTCTGGACTAAAGAATTAACCTGACAACTTGGTACCCACTAACCTATAAGCTCCATGAGCAGGAACTCTCTGTCAGTTTCTCTCCTTACTGTAAACACAATGTGTATCACAAGGTCTAGTAAACAGTAGGATCTCAGCATGCCAGTCTATATTTAAACACTTAACTTCCATCCAATAAATAATTTCAATACTGAAAGAACTTTAGTATTAAGCATTGGGAGTGAAAAGTAATGAGGACAATGGAGAAAGCAATTCTCTACGGAAATATATATGAATCTATTATATAAATGTTGAGGTATATAGTAATAATATTCAATAAGTATACACCAAAGCTCTTCAGATAGCACAAGGTACACACTTTAAGCATTTGTTCTAGTATTTTATTAAAACGTGCATGCGCAGGCACACACACACACACTCATTTAAATCCTTATGTTCCTTGACTATTTTTTAAACAACATTATTAGAAGACATGTCAATTTTAACAAAATATTTTAAATAACAGAGCACTATTCAATCTGGAACTGAATTCCTAGTTTGCTTTTATCATGCACTACAGATATCAGCATTATTAAGTGATGAATGTTGATTCCATATGTAGACCACTCCTTAATAAAACAAGCCAGGTAGAAAAAGTTTCCAAGTAAAATTTTTTGGTATTTACTTGAACTAAATGTACTGTCATGTTAGTCTAGATTTTTTTTTATTCTCGTATACTACAGAACAGAACTATTTCTGCAGGGTCCCACTGTTAATGAGTCAGTCTGTTCCAGATGCAACAGGGAGTTGTTAACACATGTCAGCGGTCTTCATGCAGACCCTGGTGTCTTTGCAATGACTATCTTTCTTTGAAAACAAAAAATTTAAGGTGAGTTATCAGTATTAGTTTATTAATTTATTATGCATCTACAATATTGTGCTACATCATAGTGGTTAAGAGGCCAGATTTTGGACAGAACTGGATTCCATTTTTGGTTCTGCTATTTACTAGCCCTGGGACCATGGGAAGGTGATTTAAACTTCCTAAGATTTTGTTTTTTCACCTGCAAAAAGGGAAAAATAAAACATCATACAGATGTAGTGAGGATCAAATGCAATAATGCGTTATAAAGCCCAGCACAAATTCTGACAAATGGCAATGGTAGTGGTGGAGGAAATGGCCTGTGGAAAACCATTGCTTGTGTTCCAATATTGGCATTGGTACTTTGTAGCTATGCAACATGTAGAAGTCACTTACCTTCTCTGTGTCTTGGTTTCTTCATAAATAAAATGGAGATAGTACTACTTCATCAGATGTTATGAGAAGCAAATGAGTCAATATGTACAAAGCACTTAGAGCAGTGTTCAGCATGTAATAACAATAAACATTCAATATTATTCAATAAAATCAGAAGGTCATATCACCATAGCAATGCTAGTATTGTTGTTCACTGCTACTGTTATGTGCCAGGAACTAGCCTGGGAACTGGAGCTATAAGATGAAAGACTCCCACCTTCTAGCGAACTTTGTCTCTTTTCACATGATTATATCAACCCTCCACAAATTTACAGAGGGTCAAGTTCTTTTATTAAAACTCACCCAAAAGAAAAATTATCCACAACTCTTTGCTGGAGAAATGATTTTTTTCTCTCAATCTAAGGATAATAGAAAAGAGAAAAGGAAATGGGGAGCAGGGTGGAACCTAAAAGCAATCTTCTCCCATCCTTGAAAGATGCCATTCCCTGACACAGAGAACAGAATCAAGTGAAACAACTCTCCTAATCTTTTCCTTCAGAAAATTTCAAATACAACCGTAAAAACTTCATAGGATACAAAATCTACGCCAAACAAAGGATGTCTGAACTCCTAATCAGCCCATGTCAGGGGAAGCAAGAATCTCAGGGCTGGGGAAGTCAGTGTGCTCCGCGCCAATTCTGCAGGGGAAAACTGGCCTAATTAATTGGAGAAGAGAATCCTGATCCAAAAAGACTTCAAAAGGTGGATACACTGAGCCAAATCTAACAATATGGTGTTAATCAATTAAAGTAATTTGCTTGGGGGAAAAAGTTAAACAGAGAAATAGAGACGCAGGAGGATATGGATTTACATGTAAAAAAGACTCAATAGTTTTCGGGAGTTCAATATGAATCAGCAGTGTGCTTTGGCTGCCTGAACAGTAACACTGACAACAACAGGAACCAAAAGAAGCCAAGGAGGTTTATGCTGCAAAGACAGAACTGTGGAACCTAAATGCAAGTAATGATATGAGGGACAGATGATACCTATTCGGTTATGAACACTGCAATTGAAAGGGGCCACTGACTGACTTTACAGCACTCCATTCATTCCACTGATATTTAATGAGCCTCCCCCAAGTGTCAGGTCCTACTTCAGACACTGGGGATTAAGAGAATAGGATAAGCAAAACCATGTTTCCACAAAGCTTCCATGTGGGGTAGGCAACAAAAAATGAAATAAGATCAGTCATTTCACAGACTGATTAGTACTATGAAGAAAATAAAGAAGAATGATTGATAGGAGTGACTGGAATGGGAAGACAGGTAGAGCTAATTAATACTGGGTGGTTGGTAAAGACCAAAGGACTGTTCTGAGAAGGTGACTTTTGATTGGGGCCAGCTATTTGAAGACGTAAAAAGTATGCGTTCTGGCAGTGGTGAATAAACGCAAAGCCCCTTAAATAGGAACAACATGGAGCAGATGAAGGAGCAGAAAGAAGTCTATTATGTTTTAGATATAGTGGAGGAGGAAGAGGGTGAGTTAGGAGGGAAAGGTAGGCAGGGTCTGATCACATAGCATCTTGTAAGCCATGATACGGAGTTGAATTTATTAATTGTATAATCAGCAGTCATTAGAGTTTTTAAAGCAAAGAAGTGCCATCATCTGATTTGCTTTTTTTTTTTTTAAATTTTGGACCGTCATTGGATAATACATGTGGGGCAGGGGCAGGGTAAGGATGGAGGGAAAGAGACCAGGTTGGAGGTCTTGGAGAAAGTGAAGGCGAGCAGGGTGCAAGTGATGGTGGTGTGGCTAAGGTTGTAGGGGTTATAAAGATAAATGAGCTCAAAGGAGGAGACTACAGCAGTAAACATGTCACACAAATAGTGGTGGAAAGAAGTTGGCACTATTAGCTGGCAAAGAAGATGGCTACAGGGACACCTGTGACGGCAGTCTCCAAATACTTACATAGCTCAGTTCCAGAGTGAGGGAGCTCTGTACCATACTTCCATGGAAAGAAAACAGGGTTTTTGTCAAGTACAGAAGACTCTATACCTCAGGGATTGCAACCCTTGTTCCACTATGTACTGACTATCTGATTTTGGGAATAAAATATATCTGTTTAAAAGGGTTGCTGTGATGATTAACTAAATTAATGTAAAAAATCAACCAAACAAACAAACACAAAAAACAAAAGGCACCCAGGGCCTGACTTCTGGTAAGAACTTAGTAAATGGTAGCTATGATTGTTACAACTATTATTCTTGTTGTTATTAGAAGGAAGCCATTCTTAAACAGTTGCTTCTAACCATTTTTGCTTTAGAAAACATCTTGAGAATTTGTTAAAATACCTTCTTTCTAGAAAAATGCACAGAATATACATATATTCACAGACATACACATGCAACTTTGCAGAGAATTTTAAGAAATTAACAGAATCTCTTGAGACTTAGGTTAGGAGATCATGGATCTCAAGTTACAAGCCCCTGCTGTAAGAGAAGGGTGTCAAGTCAAGTAGCCTAGGCTTGGTTCAAACATAAACTTGTTGATTAGAGAAGTTGAAGCATGGAATGTCTCTGAACTTTCCCTTCTCTCTAAGGGGTTGTGCAGCAGCCTGGGCAGGCAAACTCATCATGCACACACTAACAACAACAGCAGCAGCATCATAAGTAGCAGCAAAACAGAGGCCAGCTTCAAAGAACAGAGGTGCTAAGCCATGAGTCAGAGTCATGACCAAAACCAATAGGCCAAGGCCTTCATCAAAGAAGGATGTTGCATAGTTATCAGGAGTGTTTGGTATGATATGTGAGACGCCCTTAGAACTTCCCTGAGCTAGGTGAGAAGAAACTTGAGGGGGCTCTGGTTCCTGAATTTCTGTGGATGGGAAACAAATCAGAAAAATAATATTTTTTATTGTTACTGAGGCATGGAAAGCCTGTGGATTAGACTTCTTGTTTGTTATAGAACGCAAATCCAGAGCCAGAACGCAACCCGGGACCAGTTACACACTTGTGTATCTGACACCCCACCTCCATCATCAGTAGATTGAACAACACATTCTAATCTACACTGGATCCAAAACACCTAGAAAGCACCTATTACAGAGCACAAGTTCAATAAATATACATGTATTGAAAGAAAATAAGCATAAAAATAACCTGAGAAACAAAGCAGAGAGTCAGACTATGACTCACCAATGAATTTTATAAAGATTAAAGCTATAGGGAAAGAGAACATTTTGTCCCAGGAGTGGTCAGACATTTGAACAGAGACTTGGCAGAGATACTGAAAAGGGAACATAGGCTTTGAATATAGTGTTTTGGATTTACCACTGGTGTGTGTGTGTGTGTGTGTTTGAGTGCTTGTCATAAATCCCTTTCTTCAAAGAAAATCCTACACTGAAGTCCAATAAATTGCTCAGATAAAAGCGGAATTGTTCTTATTACACTGGATATGGGTACTCTTCTTCTCTTCCTACTTGCTTCTCCTGAGGTGCCCACCAGAATCCTTGGCTCCTCAGGCAAAAGTTTGAAAAAAACATGGGATTTGGTGATTTCTAAAGACTGCTAGACTGTAAATCTGGAACAACACTGACATGAAGTTACCTCAAATGACTTTATCTCTAACTCACACTTCTTAGACATCAAATCACAGAGGTATAAAAAGCTTTAAAATCCCACTAAACATCAATTTCAGAAAAATATAAAACTTTAATGTAGACTCAGTATGCACCCCACCTCCACCCCACCCCCGGCCCATTTCTCAGTCTACCTCCAGCATACCTCTTCATAGACTTGGGAGAGAGTTCCTTTTCTACTTCCTTCACAGGCATGCTGTAGGAGTCCACGTTGTATTCACTGTCATCATCGTACTCATGGTCTAGCAGCGTTCTTGCCCATGTACCCATATCATAAGGGGGCAGCATTCCTCCAAACTCAGAGGGCAGGATCTCGGGATGAATTAGTTGGTGTAGACTGTTCAGGTTGTTACCATGCAAAAATATCTAGAAATGAAAGAAAAAAGTTGGGGGGAAACACATGAAGGAGAATAAACACTATTCAGATGCTGGGAGAGAGGGATAAGGATACGAGAAAATACAAGATTTTTCCACATTTGTTAAAATATTTATGCTTTCATCCACTCTGTGATACAGGCACAGCTGGTACTATTATTCTAATATTTCATATAAGAAAACTGAGACTCAAGGACTTTATGTAGTTTCTAGATAGTCAGATAGTTATTGGGTTAAAAAGCTGGAACCAGAAATTTGGTTTTCTGCTTCACAATCAGGGACATAAGGAGAATAAGAGGTGCATGTTGATCTATGCGTCATTCTGGTATTAGTTGTGCAAACCTGATTATGTGCATAATAAATGCTGTTGAAACAGATCCATCTCTTAAGAGACTCATCAATTACAGAGCTTATTCAAGTTACTAAGCCCAAAGCTGTCACCACTATGACTTTCTCCTTATCATCAATAAAAATAATACCATAATCACTAAATTACTGTTTTATAATTCAAAGTGTGTGGTATAAATAAAAGAAGGAAATTAGCATTGTCATCATGAAAGGTTGAGTGAAGGATCATGTCCCAAAGGACTTATGGTCTATAATGTTGCCAGAATCTTCTACTGGAGATTTCCAAGCTTACTGTCCAAATGGAAAATGGGAGAGTAGATTCAAAATGTAACACTATATTGGTATTATCAGCTATATAAAGCTTTTTTATTGTTGTATAAATATAGATAACAAAATATTTGCCAACTCAACATTTTTCACATATACAATTCAGTGAGATGAATTACATCAATCATGTTTTGTAAAAGTCACCAACAGCCTTTGCCAAATTTTCCATCCCCATAAACAAAAACTCAATGCTTCCTAAACAATAATTTCACCCATTCCCCCTCTCACCCCCCCATGGTAACCACTATTAAACTCTGATCTTTATATATTTACCTATTCTAGGTACTGCATATTAGTGAGATCATATAGTATCTGTCCTTTTGTGATTGACTTATTTCATTCAACATAATGTTTTCAAGGGTCATCCATATTGTGGCAAGTATCAGGACTTCATTTCTCTCTATGGCAGAGTAATATTCCATTGTATATATATACCACATTTTTTATCCATTTATCTGTTGATGGGTATTTGGGTTGTTTTTACCTTTTGGCACTACAATGAACATAGGTATATATGTGTCTGTGTCGCTGCATTCAAGTTTCTCGGGAATATACCTGAGAGTGGAATTGCTGAGTCATATGGTAGCTGCTGGAGGCCTGGTGGCACAGTGGTTAAGAGCTATGGCTGCTAACCAAAAGGTCAGCAGTTCAAATCCACCAGCCACTCCTTGGAAACCCTACGGAGCAGTTCTACTCTATCCTATAGGGTCGCTATGAGGTGGAATCGACTTGACAGTAAGGGGTTTGGTTATTTATTTATTTTTGGTTTAGTAATAAGAACATCCCCCAAGGTTTCCTTTTTTTCTTTTTGTTTTAAGCCAATCCCTCACAATCCCTGACATTAGGGAAGAAGCACCTTGTGCAACAGGGCACCAGTGCAGGAGCAGGAAGGTGTTCATTTTGTGCTGCTCCAGTGGGGCCGATCCAAGTAATGGGAAGGTGAATTCAGCTCAACCTAAGGAAGAACTTCCTAATAATTAAAGATGGATGTCCATAGGAGATGTCTGTATGACAAGCTTATAAACTCCCTTTCACTCGAGACACTGAAACTGAAGAAAGGAAACATATGGGTGCCTGCACTGACTGAGAGCTTGGATGAGGTGCCCTTTGACGGCCTTGGCAGATCTAAATGTCCCTGACTTCTCTTAGGCGTTGTCTGCTGCTAAAAAATGAAGGGCCGGGTTAAGGTGAAATGTACAGATGAATGTTTTGTTTGGTTCAGTGCTCCCTTTTGTGGACACTTATCTAATGTACCTCATGCTCAGCTACCACTCGTCTATCGGTGGAGACTTGCATGTTGCTATGATGCTAAACAGATTTCAGTGGATCTTCCAGACTAAGGTGGACTAGGAAAAAGGCCTAGTGGTCTACTTCTGAAAATTAGCCAATGAAAACCCTGTAGATCACAAAGGTCTGATCCACAGCCAATCATGGGAATGGTGCAGAACCAGGCAGTGTTTTGTTCTGCTGTGCATGAGGTCATATGGTAGCTATTGGAGCCCTGGTGGTGCAGTGGTTAAGAGCTATGGCTGCTAACCAAAAGATCGGCAGTTCAAATCTACCAGCCACTCCTTGGAAACCCTATGGGGCAGTTCTACTCTGTCCTGTAGGGTCGCTGTGAGTCGGAATCGACTCAACGGCAACGGGTTTAGTTTTTTTGGTTTTACGGTAGCTGTACATAGGGCTTTTTTTTTTTTTTTAAGTGGAGAATCATTCAAGCCACATACTCAAGATTTGTTTCTTCATAAATTGCTACTCCCTTCCTCTTCTCTCATTTCAGTCTCAAAACTGTAGCTCAGCCTTCTCTGATAAGGCATTGTTGCCATCTCAAATAAATTTATATACTATTAATTTAAGGATTATAGTTTATGAGTGACTTAAAAATAATGTCATACTTCAGGTTCAAGGTTTTATAATGCAAAATGTGTACTGTAAATAAAAGAAGTTGATTGAACAGGCAAACACATTCATCTTTGCTTTTCATAACTTTAGAATCCACTCAAATAAATGTATATAAAAAATTAATCTACAACATAAAAAAAATAAAAGGGATGGGAGTCACCAATCAACGAGTAATTTCAACAAATTCTGGAAGAGTGAAAGCAGATGAGACCAGTTTACTGGCCAAACTAGGCAGAGAAAATGGCTGCCTGGAAAACAGGGCAGCAAGATGCCAGTCTGCTCCACAGAACATCATGGGCTTTAAGTTCAGAACTGGCAATTAGCAGAGGGCATGAGGTAGCAGTGGGGCTGAAAAGTGGGAAGTGGATTCAAGGCCTATGTACTTCACAGCTGCACATTAGACACCTCTATCAACCTTCTACCTGTTTTCAGAGCACAACAGACAGAATTTATTCCCAGGAAAATACACACGCATACACACACACACACACACACACACACACACACACACAAACACACATCCTAGGTCTCTTCTCATAAGAAATGAAAAGAATTACCTTGGGAAGTTAAGTTCTAGTAGTTAAAACCCTTATTTTATTAGGTATATAACGTTTATTTTACCAGATGTGTTGCTTCATGTTAGAAACCTTCTCCTTCAAGTGACATGAGGTTTATGGTAATAAACCCTGAGAGAAGGAAATGTAATCCTAGCACACAACAGACTCTCTCTTCTGTAACATTCTACTACTTCCTTCCTCAGCATCACTTTCAGCTTATCGCCTTGCTTCCTCTTTCATGGACAAAACAGAGCAGCCAGATGAGACCCACCCACCAGCATCTGTGTTCATCTGCTTTGCCTTTGCTTCTAGTAAAATGGAAAGATAAACCCTACGAAGGACAACCTCTCTACCTGTACACTAGAATCCACTCTTCTCTCCCCTACTCAGTTACATTTCTCAAGCAATTCTCCTTTCATCATCTATTTTCTACTCTCTGCTAGGTCTTCCCCATGAGAGAACAAACACTGACACCACTCCCCACCCCATACACACATAGAAAACCTCCCTTGGACCTACTTTTACCTCCAGCTACTATCCTATTTCTCTCCTATCCTTTAGAGCACAACTCATCAAAGAAGTTGTCTATAGTTACTGTTCAAATATTCCTTTTCCATTTTTCCTAAATAGAATCCAAACTTTGCCCTCACCTCAGCACCAAAACAGTTCTTGTCTAAATTCTCCTCTTGCTAAATGCAGTGTTCCATTATTAGTTCTCATTTTTCTTGAACTCTCAGCAGCACTGAATACCGCAGATGACCCTCCTCATAGTAACATTTTCTATAATTGGCTTCCAAGATATTATAGACTCTTAGCTCTCTCCTACCTTGCTAGATGCTTCTTTTCAGTCTCTTTTGCTGATTATTCTGCATCACCCCAACAGCTTAATTTTAGAGGACTTCAGACCTCAGTTCTTGGATTTAATTCCCTTCTCTAGCCATACTCACACTTTGGTAATTTTATTTAGTCTTGTGAATTTAAATACTGTCTATACACTGACAAATTTATAACTTGGATCTAGAACTCTTACTTGAACTCTATATTGATATTTGACATCTCCCTTTAAATGTTCAATGAGCACTTCAAAGTTAACATGTCCAAAACTGAACTCACAATCTTACTCCCAAAGTCTACTCCTCCATATCCCCAGCATCACTTAATGGTATCACTATCCCTCCAGTTTCTCAGGCCAAAAACCTTGGAGTCATCCTTAACTCCTCTCATGCTCTCACTTGTCAGCAAATTAGATGTATCGGATAAGGATGCACTGGATAAGGCAATAAGGATGTATTATAATTAGCCAACTGTTGAATTTTTGCTTTTATATTGTTCTTTGTTTTGACCAGTTTTGTGTAGTGGAATCTTTTATTAAAATTTTACAATTTTTTTCTCCTTATATTTTTTTCTTTTCTGCCATTAGGAGAAATCCTTGTCCTCTTCAGCTCCTTTGCCTCAGAATACTTTAGGATTCTAAGAATTAGCCTGAATGATACTACTATTTTTGACATCTATTTTCCTACACTGTTCCATTAAAGAAATTATACTAGGAGACCTGGAGTGAAAAAAAAAAGAGTGGAATGCTTTTAAGAACTGGCAAGGAGTAGAAGAGAGGGCCTGCTATATTGAGGCAGAGGTGGAAATTTGTAGCAGTTAATAGAAAAGATTGCTCCCTAGCAACCCCTTGGGGAGTGGCAAGACCACAGCCATGGGCTAGATGAAGAATACACTGGGCGATGGGTGGAAGCCTAGTCTTTGGGTTCCAGCTTAAGAAAAGATGGCCTTTTTTCAGAGACAGTTTCGGAGCAGAAGGGGATCTTACTTTAAGGAATTATTACTGTCTTGAAAAATAAGGATGTCAGAAGTTATCATTGATGGACTGGAAGCTTAGCCCAGCATAAAAGATTTAAAGTGCTGAAGAAGGCGTCCCTATAATACCAAAGGGTAGATTTCCCACCAACCCCCAAACTTTGAGTGTTTTAGAGACTCAAATTCAGATTTAATTTACAAAAATGAAGAAACAGACATTTATTGCATACCTGAATTTGTGGACTAAGATTTACTGACTATAGTAGATTTTTCTTTTACCAGTGTTTCAGAATGTAGATTTCTAGCATCTGAAGTGTAAGGTATTTGAGTAATAATGTGATGCTGAGTCACTTAGAATACCAGAGAAGAAATATAATAGAAAGAATGGAAATATAATGGTTTTGCTTTGTGCATTGATTGTGTAAATGGAAATTAAAGACTTTTTTAACCTATAATTACATTTTCATATGAAAATTTCCAAGTCATATAATTTAAATTAAAACAGTGAAGTTCAGATACCTCCCTTCCATCTGGAATAATTCTAGCAATGCATCCTTCTAGGCATTATCAAAATTATCAAATTCAATCAAAGAATTACCAAACATAATGCACTACTAGTTTTCTAGATGTAATTCTTACCACTGTTTTTTCAACAAAGCATTAAAAAAAAAAGTTGCCACTGGGTCAACTCTGACTCACGGAGACCCCATGTGTATCAGAGTAGGATGTATCGGATAAGAATGTATTAGATCCATAGGGTTTTCAGTGGTTGATTTTTTCAGCAGTAGATCACCAGGCCTTTTCTCCAAGATGCCTCTAGGTAGACTCAAACCTCCAACCTTTCAGTTAGAAGTTGAGTGTGTTAACAGTTTGCACCAGGCAGGGGGTGCGAACAGTGCATAATCATGTCAAAATCACATTACTCCATGTCACCCCTCTACTCAAAGCCCTTCAAGGACGTCCCTTCTAACTCTGACTGAAATCCCAGATCCTTGCAACAGTGTACAGGCCCTCTATGATCTAGCCCACTACAGCCCCTCCCCATCCTGTCCCCTATCACCTTTCCCCATAGCTCACCCTGCTGTAGCTACACTGGCTTCCTTGATGTTGGTCAAGTATACCAGGCGTGCCTCTACCCAAGGACCTCTGCCTTTGCTATTACTTCTGCCAGGAACTCCCTCATATATGCACATATCCAACTCTGCTATCTATTAGCTGTGATCCTGAGGAAATTACTTAACCTTCTGTGCCTCATTTTCCCATCTATAAAATGAGAAAGATAACAATTCCTACCCCAAAGCACTTTTGTAAGAATAAAACGAGTTAACATATGTAAAATGCTTAGCACAGCATGAATTCTAGAGTGAATACTACATAAGCACTTGCTAGTATAATTTGTACTAAAAGCCCCAGCAGGTGTTTTGGATCACCTGCTCACCCCTTCATAAAACAAACTTTGAAAGTGCTATTTGTGAGGCACTTCAATGCATTTTCTGAACTCTAAAATAGGAATTAATTTTATTCTCAGTGGTAGAAATAATTCCTAGTATAAATTGGTTATTTCCAGAATTCTTCCTTCTAAACTATTGGAATGTCCTCAACAAATTCATATACAATAAAATTTCTGTTCACTAATGTTTGATATGGACACATAATTAAAGTTACGCTTTCAAATCACAACGAAGCTTCTACAAACAAGGCTTCCACAACACTGAAATACCTGAAGTGTCCTCTCAGTCACCGAGAAACATGAGAAATTATCTTCCACATAGATTCAGAAGTAAGTATATTTTCCTGTGGAATTAATCATTTGTAAATTGGATGCAGCTTCACATTTAAAGCAACTCTGGAAGATCTGGGTTCATATATCAGCTCCACAACGGTACAGCTGTGTATATCAACAAGCAAGTTACATATCCATCCTGAAACTCACTTTCCTCAGCTCTGAAATAGGAGCTAACTCTTACTACGTTTTCTTGCCAGACCTGCATGTTAAAATCTGTATTATTAACAATAATGATAAAATGTGTTCAGTACTTACCATGTGCCATGCACTGTACTAAATGCTTGACATAAAATATTATCTAATTCTCAGGAAAATTATTTTTTATATTTTATGATTGTCATGGATTGAATTGAGTCCCCCAAAAATGTCTGTCGGCTTGACTGGGTCATGATTCCCAGTATTGTATGATTGTGTAATCTGACGTGATTTCCTTTTGTGTTGTAAACTCTATCACTATGATGAGGTTATATGTGATTTCCTTATGTGTTGAAACTCTATCACTATGATGAGGTTATACTGATGACGTCTACAAGATTGGATAGTGTCTTAATCTAATCTCCTCTGAGATATAAAAGAGATAAACGAGCAGAGACACAAGGAAACCTCATACCACCAAGAAAGCAGTGCCGGGAGTGGAGCACGTCCTTTGGACCTGGGGTTCCTGCGCGGAAAAGCTCCCAGACCAAGGGAAGATTGATGACACGGACCTTCCTCCAGAGCCAACAGAGAAAGTGTGTCCCTGGAGCTGATGCCCTGAATTTGCACTTGCAGCCTACTGAACTGTGGGAGAGTGACCTTCTCTTTGTTAAAGCTTGTGGTATTTCTGTTAGAGCAGCACTAGATGACTAAGACAATGATTATCTTCATTGTTAGATGAAACTGATCTAAAATGTTAAAATTTCTATACATTAACATTCTTTCCAAAAAGTGTGATTACTCATGATAGTAACTACAAAATTATATTAGATATCACAAAATCCACTATATTCAATGTAAGACATATTTCGAAATAACTACCACCCATTTCTCAACATACAAAAATTTTAAATTTTGTCTAGACCTTACTTCAAGTAAAGTGTACCAGTAACATTATAGTAATGTGGCATAAAGGATTTTTTTTTTTTTTTTGCCTTTAAACTGATGCTTTATATATAATAAACATGCTAAAGTGTTTTTCCTTTTGTAGGAAAGTAGAAGAGCTAGTTTGGAAATGTTTCACAGATACACTGTTCAGAATTAATCACAAGATTTGTAAGACTTTTAAAATGGCTTTTATGTTTAATATTTGTATACAGTATACTAGCACATTTCACTATTGCCAATATTGTACAGGCAGTATGCATCATGATTCATGGAATGGAGGAAGGGAAAGAATAGTAAAAAAAGAAAACAAATACCCTTTTCCGAGTCTTCTCCTTCAGGAAAGGCCGGATCACGGTGTATAGGGCATGGATATACCAGGGTTGATTGACAAAATGAATTCCTCCAAATCGTGCTGGGAAACTATCCTAAGGTAACATGGAGAAAGAAAAAATTGAGACATTCTTTAATACATTGAGAAGATTTAGGAAAGGCCATATGGTATACAAGTTCTTTATTCTACACACTTAAATGAGATTATCTGTATACTTATGGAAAAGAAAAAAGGAAAAACCTTATCATACCAAACACTAACTTTCATACAGTGACTGTATAATGTACGATAGCAAATTCTTCTCAAGAATAGGTTGCCTTATTTTAAGCCAGCGAACTGCTAACAGCCAGTCATTGTAGGCCAAGAAACAAAAATAAAAGTCATTAGATCTTTGCGAAATAATTAATCTTTGTTGGAAAAATATTTTATTTAAATTATTTATGTTGTTGTTGTTATGTGCCATTGAGTTGGTTCTGACTCATAGCAACCCTATGTACAACAGAACCAAACACTGCCCAGTCCCAAGCCATCCTCACAATCTTTGCTATGCTTGAGCCCATCGTTGCAGCCACTGTGTCAGTCCATCTCATTGAGGGTCTTCCTCATTTTCTCTGGCCCTCTACCTTACCAAGCATGATGTCCTTCTCCAGGGACTGGGCCCTCCTGATAACATGTCCAAAGTACATGAAACAAAATCTCGCCATCCTCACTTCTAAGGAGCATTCCGTCTGTACTTCTTCCAAGACAGATTTGTTCGTTCTTCTGGCAGTCCGTGGTATATTCACTATTGTTCGCCAACACCATAATTCAAAGGTGTCAATTACTCTTTGGTCTTCCTTATTCATTGTCCAGTTTTCACATGCATATGAGGTGATTTAAAATACCCTGGCTTGGGTCAGGTGAATCTTAGTCCTCAAGGTGACATCTTTGCTTTTTGACACTTTAAAGAATTCTTTTGCAGCAGATTTGCCCAATGTTGTTTGATTGCTTGACTGCTGCTTCCATGGGTGTTGATTGTGAATCCAAGTAAAATGAAATTGTTGACAACTTCAGTCTTCAAATATTTATATTAAATATATTTGAATTAAAATGTTTGATTAAATTTCAGTGTCGTCAACTGTAATGTGAGCACTGTCAGATATAAAAAGGACTTGATTGTCTTTCTTATCATTTCACTGATTTCATTACAAACATTCTCCTTTCCTTATTTCTACTACAAAAAAAAATGAAACATGCTTAACAAAATAAAAATTTAGAGTTGTACTGTAAAAAGTGTAGGGATGCATTTCTCTAGGTTAAATAAAAGTCAAAACCCTCAGAATTTACAGGAGAAAAATGGGACTGTAATAAAGCCAGGTTCCTCTTTAGGGAGGACTCAACCTCGTTTAAGGTTTGAACCTGAAGTAATGCAGAAAGGTGTTTTCTTCCTATCTGTGAATGAATAGGTACTTCTCTACTCCACTCCATAATATGAAGGGAATACTTAAGCCCAATGAATTGCAACATTTTACACTCCACTTGAGTATACAATGGATTCCACATAAATGAGCCTGAGTTTTTGCTACTAGTTCAAAATTCCACACTGAACTGACCACAAAGGTCTTCTTTAAAAAAACTAAACCAATAGATGACTCTCTCAAGTGGCATTACAAATAACTGACATTCTGCTGGATTCTACTTAGAACATGAAAAGAAACAAACAAAGGTGAGCTGAAAGAATTGTGTATGCATACTTTTTTTAATTTACATTTTCTCATGAATGTGTTTCTCTGGCCAAAAACATGTATGGCATAACCCCATTATAATATTTTTTGAGGGGATACTTTTATGAGCATTAGTGAATTAGTGGTTTTGCATACTGATTTTCAGGGCTGATCAATATCTTTTGCAAAGAAATTTTTATGTCTGAGAATAGCACACTATAAAAAGACAACAGCATTTCAAAAAATAAATGAATTAGCATAGCTAAAGGTAAAATGTGTCTCCTTTTAGTTCGGTACCTTATTTTATAAATACGTAGATTCTCATTCTTCAAGAGGTTGTTACAATCATAGAAATGAATCATATGGAAATGCAGACAGTATGCTTTTAAGTTATGAACTAATTGTTGTTGTTATCAGTTGCCACAGAGTTGATTCCAATTCATGAAATATTTACACAAAGTAAAAAAATAATATATATATATAAGCAATACAGACACTGATCAGACAAATACCCATGTACCCTCCACTCATCTTAAGAAATAGAACATGGTCAGCAACTTTGGGGTTCACTGTATTCATATTCTTTCCTCTTCCCCCACATTTTAAAATTTCATATTATCATTCTCTTTCCTGCTTTTATATTTTACTGCATATACACACATCCCTAAAATATACTGTTGTTTTTTAAGCATTTAAACTTCATAAAAATGTCATCATACTGTATGTATTCTTCTGTGGACACCAAACACTGTTTTTGAGGTTCATTGTTTTTGAGGTTTATACGTGTGCAGCTTTAATTCACTGCCACAGATATTATTATATAGCACACCACAATTAATTTCTATTTTCTCCAGTCAATGCACACTGTTTTCTAGGTTTTTTTGTTTGTTTTGCCATTACCAGCACTGATGCTTTGAACACTTGCCATTCTTAAACATGACTCTTGTGCATCGTTCAAGTGTATCTGTAGGGTATTTACCTAAAAATAGAAAAGCTGAGTCACAGAGTATATGTATCTTCAACTTAAAAACTTGGTTAGATACTGTGCTGGAAGTCCTAGCTAGAGCAATAAGGCAAAAAAAAAAAGAAATAAAGGGCATCCAAATTGGTAAGGAAGAAGTAAAACTGTCCCTATCTGTGGATGATATGATACTATATGTAGACAACCCAAAAGGCTCCACAAGATAACTACTGGAACTAATAAAAGATTCAGCAGAGCAGCAGTATACAAGATAAATATACAAAAATCAGTTGGACTCCTATTCATCAATAAAGAGAACGACAAAAAGGAAATCAGAAAAACAATACCATTTATAATAGCCCCTAAAAAGATAAAATACTTAGGAATAAATCTAACCTGGGATATAAAAGACCTATACAAAGAAAACTACAAAACACTACTGCAAGAAACTGGAAGAGATCTACATAAATGGAAAAATATACCATGCTCATTGATAGGTAGAATCAACATTGTGAAAACGTCAATTATACCCAAAGCAATCTACAAATACAATGCAATCCTGATCCAAATACCCAACAGCATTCTTTAAAGAGATGGAAAAACTAATCGTTTACTTTATATGGAAAAGGAAGAGGCCCCAGATAAAGCGCTATTGAAGAAGAAGAAGGATAAAGTAGGAGGACTCACACTACCTGACCTCAGAACCTACTATACAGCTACGGTAGTCAAACCAGCCTGGTACTGGTAACAACGACAGACACATTGACAAATGGAACAGACTTGAGAACCCAGATGTAAATCCATCCACCTATGGTCATCTGATCTTCAACAAAGGCCCGAAGTCCATCAAATAGGGAAAAGACTGTCTTTTTAACAAATGGTGCTGGTGAAACTGGATGTCCATCTGCAAAAAAATGAAATAGGACCCATACCTCACACCATAAACAAAAACTAGATTCAAAATGGATCAAAGACCTAAATATAAAACCAAAAACTATAAAGATCATAGAAGAAAAATTAGGGTCAATGCTAGAGGCCCTAATGGCATAAACAGGATACAAACCATAACTAACAATACATAAATACCAGAAGATAAGCTAGATAACTGAAATCTTCTAAAAATTAAACACTTAATGCTCATCAAAAGACTTCACCAAGAGAGTAAAAAGAGAACCTACAGACAGGGAAAAGAATTTTGGCTATGACAAATCCAACAGAGGTCTAATCTCTAAAATCTACAGGAAAATCCAACACCTCTACAACAAAAAAGACCAATTATCCAATTAAAAAACTGGGCAAAGGATATGAACAGACATTTCACCAAAGAAGACATTTAGGCAGCTAACAGACACATGAGGAAATGCTCATGATCACCAGCCATTAGAGAAATGCAGATTAAAACCACAATGAGATACCATCTCACTCCGGCATTACTGGCACGAATCAAAAACACTGGAAATAACAAATGTTGGAGAGGCTGCAGGGAGACTGGAATGCATATGCACTGCTGGTGGGAATGCAAAACAGTACAACCATTTTGGAAATGGCGCTTCCTTAAAAGCTAGAAATAGAAGTACCATATGATCCAGCAATCCTATTCCTAGGAATATACCCTAGAAAAATAAGAGCCATCACACCAATAAACATATGCACAACAATGTTCATTGCAGTACTATTCATAATAGTAAAAAGATGGAAACAACTTAAGTGCCCATCAACAGAAGAACAGATAAACTATGGTACAAACACACAATGGAATACTACACAATGATGAAGAACAGTGATGAATCTGCAAAGCGTCTCACAACATGGATGAATCTGGAGGGCATTATGCTGAGTGAAATAAGTTAATCACAAAAGGATAAATATTGCATAAGAGCACGACTATAAAAACTCATAAAAAGGTTTACACACAAAAATAATCAACCTTTGATGGTTACGAGGGAGGGGAGGGGTGGGAAGGGAAAAACACTAAATAAACAATAGGTGAGTGGTAACTTTGGTGAAGGGTAAGACAGTACACAATACTGGGGAAGCCAGCACAGCTTGACCAAGGCAAGGTCATGGAAGCTCCATAAACATATCCAAACTCTTTGAGGGACCGAACTACTGGGCTGAGGGCTGGGGACCATGGTCTCGGGGGACATCTAGCTTAAATGGCATAACATAGTTTATAAAGAAAATGTTCTACATCATACTTTGGTGAGTAGCGTCTACAGTCTTAAAATCTTGCGAGCAACCATCTATGATACTCCATGGTCTCACCCCATCTGGAGCAAGGGAGAATGAAGAAAACCAAAGACACATGGGAAAGGTTAGTCAAAAGGACCAATGCACCACAACTACCACAGCCTCCACTAGGCTGAGTCCAGTACAGCTAGATGGTGTGCAGCTACCACTACCGATTGCTCTGACAGGGACCACAATAGA